TATATATATATATATATATAGTGTGTGTGTGTGTGTATCACATAATTTAGTATGTTTTAGAATCTACAGTTTTCCAGAAAGGTCAGACAGACAGTAGTAAATAGGGACTTTGATCCCTTTCCCTTACTACTCATCTTTGGAATCTAGCCACTGGAATCTGAGGGGGGAAATTTTCCTTCTATATAGTTCCGTATTCTGTTTCACTTGGTAAAACTGAATTTAAATTAGAGTAAGCAAAAGGAAGACTGTACAGATCTTCCTGGATTTATGATGAGGTTACATTCCAATAGACTCATCATAAGTTGAAAACATCCTAAGTTGAAAATGTATTTAATATACCTATTCCACCTATCATAGCTTAGCCTAGCCTACCTTAAACATGCTCAGAACAATTATATTAGCTTACAGTTGGGTAAAACCATGAAACACAAAGACTATTTTGTATTAAAGTGTTGAATATCTCACAAAATTTATTGAATATGGTACTGAAAGCAAAAAACAGAATGGTGTAAGTGTATTCATTGTTTACCTCTGTGATTGCATGGCTGACTGGGAGCTAGGGTCTGGTTATATTCCTGTCTACCCCTAGGTTGGAGATCTGACATTAAATGTGCTGTTCTGAACCACATAAAAATGTGGGTTCCCACAGGGGAGCACCTTTCTATTTTGGCCATAAGGATGCATACTAAAAACAACTTCAGCCAATTTAAAAATTGGGCATAAGGGTTGAATATAATAAAGTCCTTTGAAAAAATTTAATAACTTTTCATTGTTTTAAAACTATTATCTGAAGTAGAAAAAACCCACTTCTAAAAAACTTAATTATATGAAGGCAAAGCAATTAGTAATTTTTGCTACATTCTATCACTTACTTTGACTTCTGGTCACTCTATGCACATCCACAAACTATCATTTTTATATCATTTTTATACTAAAATATAACTCTATTTTGATTATGAAGTAACCACACAGAAATTTTCCTCAAATTTCTAAAACTGAAATAGGAACATTCTTCCGATCACGTTACTCAAAACTTTGATGTATTTTAGGATTTGGCCGATGAACTTGCCCTTGTTGATGTTGCAGTGGACAAATTGAAGGGAGAAACAATGGATCTTCAGCATGGCAGTCTTTTCTTTAATACTTCAAAGATTACCTCTGGAAAAGGTTAGTTTTAATGAAAAAAAATTTTTTAATGTTTATTTTTTAAGAGACAGAGAGACAGAGTATGAGTGGGGAAGGGGCAGAGAGAGGGAGGAAGATACAGAATCCAAAGCAGGCTCTAGGCTCTGAGCTGTCAGCACAGAGCCTGATGTGGGGCTTGAACCCACCAGCAGTGAGATCATGACCTGAGTCAACATCAGACGCTTAACCGACTGAGCCACCCAGGTGCCCTGGTTAGTTTTAATTTTATAGCGTTCTGGGGCGCCTGGGTGGCGCAGTCGGTTAAGCGTCCGACTTCAGCCAGGTCACCATCTCGCGGTCCGTGAGTTCGAGCCCCGCGTCAGGCTCTGGGCTGATGGCTCGGAGCCTGGAGCCTGCTTCCGATTCTGTGTCTCCCTCTCTCTCTGCCCCTCCCCTGTTCATGCTCTGCCTCTCTCTGTCCCAAAAATAAATAAAAAACGTTGAAAAAAAAATTAAAAAAAAAAAAATTTTATAGCGTTCTTTTCAGAGCTTTAAAAAAGAGTAATGAATTTTACCATATTGCTATTCATAAATATAAAATTAAAAGTAGCACCACTGTCATTAGGACATACAGTTTAAAAGGTTAATTTTTGCTTAAAGGGTTAATTTAAAAAAAAAGAACATTCCATTCAAATTTGAGAAAACTTGGAAAATATAAAGTATTTATAATGTATAAGAAAAAAGTATTTAAATGTAAAAAAAGATCAAAATCTCTCCTGTTAATGGTTTTGTTTCTTTTTCCTATTCATTTGTTTTTATGTAAATGTCATATTAGATCAATGCTTTTTATTTTTTATTTTTAAAAAATGTTTATTTACTTTTGAGAGAGTACCAGTTTGGGAGGAGCCGAGAGAGGGGGAGAGAGGATCTGACATAGGCTCTGCATTGAGAGCAGGGAGCCCAATGTGGGACTTGAACTCATGAACCATGAGATCATGACCTGAGCCAAAGTTGGATGCTCAACCAACTGAGCCACCCAGGTGCCCCTGAATAAATGCTTTTTAAACTTGTCATTCCATCTTATACATTTTCCCAAGGTTATGTCTTGAATACTTTTTGTAATATTGTTGATATACGTATCTATACTCTTTAACCTGGTTTCCTTTTTGTGTTTATAGAGGAACAGTTTTCAAGGTATAGTGTGAGGCCATACTACAGGAAATGGGGAGCTTGGCCCCATTAGCATTAGCATCATCTGTTGACCAAATAAGAAGCCTTAGAGAATTAGGAAAAATAATTATCATACACTAAAGTGCATAATGCACTCTTTGGTGATCTGATTCAATAGATATACTTTCTACTAAAGCCCTCTTACCTAACATGATTGGAACTGAGGGTGGTTACTTAATTTAAAAATGTGTGTTAGGAGCCATCACTGGAGGTATCACAGTTCCAGATTTCAAGTTATATTACAAAGTAGTAGTAATTAAAACAGTGTGGTACCGGCATAAAAATAGGTACACAGATCAATGGAGTAGACAGAAAACCCAGAAATAACCCCACAATTATATGGCCAATTAACCTTTAACAAAGGAAGAATGAATATCCAATGGAAAAAAGACCGTCTCTTCAACAAATGGTGTTGGGAAAAGTGGACAGCAACATGCAAAAGAATGAAACTGGACCACTTTCTAACACCATACACAAAAAGAAGCTCAAAATGGATTAAAGACCTAAATGTGGGACAGGAAACCATTAAAATCCTAGAGGAGAACACAGGCAGTAACCTCTTTGACAGCAGTTGCAGCAACTTCTTACTAGCTATATCTTCTGAGACAGGGGAACAAAAATAAGCTGTTGGGACTTTATCAACATAAAAAGCTTGCAGGAGCACTGGCTGGCTCAGTTGGTAGAGCATGCGACTCTTGATCTCAGGATTGTGAGTTTGAGGCCCATGCTGGGTGTGGAGATGACTTCAAAATCTGAACAAATAAATAAATCAAGCTTCTGCACAGCAAAGGAAACAATCGACAAAACTAAAAGACAGCCTACAGAATGGGAGAAGATATTTGCAAATGACATATTTGATAAAGGGTTAGTATCCAAAATATATAAAGAACTTATACAACTCAACACTGAAAAAACAAATAATCCAAAAATAGGCAGAAGACATGAATAGACATTTTTCTGAAGAAAGCATACAGATGGCCAACAGACCCATGAAAATATGCTCAACATCACTGATCATTAGAGAAATTCGAATTGAAATGAGATATCAGCTTATACCTGTCAGAGTGGCTAAAATCAACAACACAAGAAATAATGGGTGTTGGCGAGGATGTGGAGTAAGGGCAACCCTCTTACACTGTTGCTGGGAAGGCAAACTGGTGCAGCCACTCTAGAAAAAAGTATGGAGTTTCTTCAAAAAGTTAAAAATAGGACTACCCTACTTTCCAGCAATTGCACTACTGGGTATTTACCCAGAGGATACAAAAATATTAATTCAAAGGGATACATGCACCCTGATGTTTATGGCAGAATTATCAACAATAACCAAATTATGGAAAGAACCCAAAAAGCCATCAACTGATGAATGGATAAAGAAGATATATATATATACAAGGTAATATTACTCACCCATAAAAAAATATGCAATCTTGCCATTTGCAATGACATGGATGGAGCTAAAGAGTATTATACTAAGCAAAGTAAGTCAGTCAGAAAAAGACAAACATCATAGACATTTTATGTTGACCTAAAATATGGAAATGTACTTAGAAGTTCATTTGTTAGTTTTCTGATTTGAGTATAGTTCAGCTAATTGAATTTTGCAGTATCTTTTTAAAAGCACACCAATAGTGATCATTTCAATTTCATTAAAGTACTACAGTTAACTTGAAGACATTTATGAAACAGTCACAAAACTCTACTAAATTTTTATTGTTTTCCTTCATTTTTATTTCTCTCACCTAAAAGGACAATTTTTAAACAACTTGATTTTAATATGTCTTTCCGAGGTATTCAACTTAATTTTCTTTTTTCTTTTTTACAGTTTTTAAATTTTTTTAACGTTTAATTTTTGAGACAGAGACAGAGAGAGAGAGACAGACAATGAGTGGGGCAGAGAAAGAGGGAGACACAGAATCTGAAGCAGGCTCCAGGCTCTGAGCTGTCAGCACAGAACCTGACATGGGGCTTGAACTCATAAACTGTGAGATCATGACCTGAGCTGAAGTCAGAGACTTAACCAACTGAACTACCCAGGTGCCCCCCCCTTTTTT